AGAGGGAGAGGGGGGGGCAGGTGAAGCTCTGTGAGTTCGAGGCCAGCCTGGTCTCCAGATAGAGTGCCAGGATAGGCTCCAAAGCTACACAGAGAAACCCTGTCTCGAAAAACCAAAAAAGAGTAAATTATAGGCAACCATTTATAAAGCAACTATTGCTAAATTCACTGGGTTGCCTACCTTTGGGAGTTTTGACTATGATTTTAAACTTCAATTTCTTTAATAAGAAAAAAGAAAAAAGTCCGTGCTCTAAATATGGTATGTATGTTGCCTCAAACTATACCTTTCATAAAACACTACTCTCTCAGATAGCTTATTAAACTGTGCCACACACAATCATGGAAGGAAGAACACCGGCTGAATGACAACAGTTCTCCCTCACTGACCTCTGTGAACTCACTTGCTGAGGAACATAAATAGCAAAACAAACCAACAAACAAACAAAACATGAGTGCAAACAAGCAAGCAAGGGGAAAGGAAAACTTCAACAGCAGGGCCATTTCATTTAGACACTTTAAATAAGCTCTTTTTAAAAAATTCAAAATATTGTCTTTTGCATAATGTAACAAGTTTAAAGTCTTAACTAGATAGCTAACTAGATAGACATTTCTTGAACCCCTTCACCAGAGGAATAAATTTGCAACCCCAAACTTGATATGGGGCTTTTCATCGAATTGTAAATGTTATCACTACTTCAACTCTGGTTTTATGCTGTGGTACCAAAAGAAAACAGGCTTGTAGACAAAACAGTTGTAACCCTGCCCCAGGCTCATTCTTACGTGATTTAATGTTGGCATCTCTGTAGGTGCCATTCAGAATTGCAAGCTCCATTAGTTGCATCTTCTTCAGGCTGTCTTCTCCTTCAGCCTACACATGAGAAACAAGGGCAGAAAGTATGTGAGACTGTGCATATATCACAACCTAAAAACTACATACTAAGTGACTTATAACTACAAAGTGAACTAATAATAATCACTCAGTTTCTAAATGCTTGTTTCTGTTTCCTTATGTTCTTGGTTTCCCCCTCAATGTACCTGGCAAGTGCTAAGTGCTATCAATTCTATCTTTGACCCTCTATCTTTAGGATCATCATAAAATTTACTACCTACATAGGATATATTTACAAGTGGGAAAAAAAAGGGGGGTCACTAAGACTAACTAGACTACACAGACAGAAACCAGGATGGCTATACCACTTACCATGGTTTCACCCACTTCCATTAACCAATAGTAGTCTTGGTAAGTCATTACTATTATACTATCCAAACTGTCAGTAGTGCCTGTTGTTCAATACACACACTATCTAAATACCCAATCTAGATCCAAGGGCCAGATAAGCTTCCCCAAATGCAGTTTCTATCTTAATGTTTTGTACTATTCTCATGTCTTAAACCCTAGTGATCTTTTACTATCAGAACAAAGATTTTAAACTTTCCTCAAACTACCACCCCAAGGTGAACTTACAGAGCAATAGACCAGACTAACTCTGTTAATGTCTTAGTGTTCATTCCCACTTGCCTATTTGCAAATATACTACCTTCTCCAGGAGCCATGCCTTCATTCTATGATTTCAGCCTTCAATTACAGCTTGCTGAATGTTACCACTCTCAAAGTAAGCGCCATTAGAATATTCTTGATTATATTTATCACTATCTAATACCTGTGTACTGATCCCAAAAATTATTTGTTGGAACTAATTTTTGTTTGTTTTGAGACAGGGTCTCACTACATAGCCCTGGCTGTCCTAGAACTAATAGGGTGGCCTCAAACTAAAGAGTTCCTCTGGCCTGCATCCCAAGTGCTTCTGGCTAAAATTTACTTATTAAATGGTTGGTATATGAGAAACCTAACTTTACTGACAAAGCTCAAAGGTCTGAGATCTGCAGGACAAATTTTAGCTAACAAAAGCCAACCAGAAATGAAGGAAAAGGACTAGGAAGTTTGTCCTTTAAAGACTATGGCATTAAGTGCCCCCCCCTACTTTAGTGCAAGTCCATTTGAAACATGGACTAAAACATATGCAAGTCTTTAGAGCAGGGATTGATATACTGCAATTTGTGGCAAATAGAATTGTTGAGTGGGTTATTTAATAAATCAAACAGAAGTAAAGCAATTAAAGAAAGATATAAATGAAACCATTATGAAGACAACATCTGATGGGCCACTGACAACTTTAAAAGTCTCCTTTGCAGTAAAAGAAGAGACTGGCATATCTGTTGGATTATTCCTTGATCTGCAACAATTTTTATAAAGATGAATAAAATAAGTGACTTATTTGGTTAATATAAGTGAGCTATTATTAAAAGTGAAGAAGTGCAAATCTTACTATGATCAAAGTTCCTAAATCTGTTCATTAAAAATAAATACTATAAATTAAAATTTATCAACAGTTGGCTTAAATTTAATCTATGTAACAATGCATATTAAAACTTCAAAAAAGAAAATAAAAGAAGCAACAGGCCCACTCCCAGCCATAGTAAACTAGTTGTTCAAGTTTGAAAGAATAAGGGGCAAATTTACTCTATCAAAAACATAAAAAGGAAGAAACTGGACGTAAAGAGAACATGTGCTTAGAAACATGTTTGAGTTAGACAGTTTATATCGACTGTGGGGATAAAGCTAAAGAGAAAGATGGTAGAAGGAATGCATGTGTTCCCACCAACATGTGGCCATGTCATTTGTAGGTCCCAGAATACTAAAAACTGGATGAAGACCACCGCAGTGGGTAAGTAGCAAAACCTAAAGGAGCAGGGCTGCCCACATAATGATGGTGTAACAATTTATGGTGTGATCACTGAGGAAGGCTGAATTAATTAATGTGCATTGATCACCCCCAAAGCTCTGTGGCAGAATTAGAATCTAAACCCAAGTTGTTACATTCCAGAATGAGCTTTACTATTTTTACATCCTTTCAGCCTATCACACTCTTTCTCCAAAGAGAGCTGGATGTTGGGTTTATGGCCTCACAAGACAATGAAGTTCATTACACAATATTTTCACATGAAAGTGGTTGTTTCAACTTTTTTGCTCCATTTTTGATCAAAATTTATCATATTTACTTGCCTAAACTTCTTTTTCAAATGTATGTTCAGGTAAGAAGACCTGAATGCTATGATGTAAAGGCTCTTGCCTAGTTGTTCTAAAACTTTCACAGACCACGATTATCTCTGAGAACTCAATACAACCTATATGGTATTTTTATCAAGTCAATATATCTATGTCAGGTGTAATAATTACTTTTAGGGGGTGGATAACAAAACTGCTCCTAGGAACCTGTGTAAGGTAAAAAAAAAAAAAATTGTATTTTACACTTTTTATGCTATTATCTTCAATTTCCTTAATGTTTCACTTTTTATTTACTGTACCTTTAAAAATCACTTTAAAACCTGAGGCATAATTTACAGGCAACGGCACCCCAGGATTTAAAGAGACACAATTGGCCAGTTTTGATGAATACGCATGAAGACAGAGCATTTCCACCAGCTTCTCTCTGTGTTTAAGCACCAAGATTAATGTGGCTTTTCTCCTGCCATAGTTCAGTTTTTCAATTCCAGAATATAAGAGAATGGTACCAGATGCAATTTCAGCAGTCGGGGTTTCTTAGTAAGGGTTTTACGATACTCATCCATGTTGTTTGTAGCAGCAGATTGTTTGAATGGCCAAGTAGTACTTTTTTTTAATTCATTTTCTTGCTATAGATTTTTGCTTGCTTATAGTTTGAAGATACACTATGATTATAGCCACTCTGAAAATTCTCACATAGGCATCATTATGACTCTAAATTTTAACTTATTCTGGGTAAGTATCTAGAAGTAGTATTGCTAAGTCATAGAACAGATTAATTCCATGGGAAAAAATATAAAGAATATCAGAACACTATGAACAGCAGAGTTATCTTTGAAGTATGAATGTTTATATAACTCTTGCTTAGAACCATGGCATCAGAAGTGTCTTGAGATTACAGAGATTTTTAGATTTACGAAAATCTAACAGATAACATAGTATCTCTATTGATGTCTGGGGAAAATCTCTTACAACAATCCTATCCTGACTCTGTGTGCGTGCGTGCGTGCGTGCGTGTGTGTATGGTAGAAGTTTAAACAGTTGCAAACACAATTTTCTTAACTTTTTGAAATTGTGAATGGCAGATTGATGAACATATATAAATATTTTTAAATGTATACATACATGACGAGATGTAAGTATGTCATCAGCTTTAACAAACTATGTCAAAGAAACAAATAGGTCAAATACCACTAAACTAAAAGGGTTTTTAATACTGTAAAGTACAAAAAATTCTAATAAAGTGCTATTTCACTTTATTACAATGAGATATGAAGTCTTCATCATTTAAGCATCATGCTTCATAATAAAACTATAGCATCAGCATACATTATCACCAAGACTCAGATAAATTAACTTTTCTACAAGGTCATAATACAGACCAAGTGCCTAACTAAGCAGAGTACATGAGCCAAAGCCCTTAGGTGTTAATCATTACATCAATACGCTGAATGGCACTACCACACTCAGCACTACCACAATACCTTTTATGTGGAATAGTTTCTGACTTCACATTATGAAGAAAATCATGTTTACTTGTTAATAATGCAATTGATTAAAACAGATGAAGGCCAGTAAGATTGCTCAAGGTATGGGTACTTGCTGCCAAGCCTGACAACCTGAGCTCAATTCTAGGATCCACATGGTAGAAGGAAAACTGACTCCTACAGCCTCATTTCCAATGCTTTCTTTCTTCAATCATAATCAAGTTCAAAGCCCCTTAGAACAGACTGTTTTTCAGCCTCAGAACTGAACAGGCTCCTGTTTAGAAGCATCTCATAGCTATTGTCTTTCAACAGCCTTCACACTGTACTATTTTCTACAGTGCATACTCATCTGATGACTCTCACAACTATATTACTTTCAGAAAGCTATGCTGTTTATTTAAGGGATAATCTATTTTATGTAGCCACATGATGTCACTCCTTTTCCATTTTTACTTTTCTATGATTGGTATTTTCTAAACAACTACTCTTCCCCATACCACTCATGTTAAGAGAAACAGAGATAGAGAGATGGGAGGGAGGGGCTAGAAATAAAAGATGAATAAATGAGTAGAGAAAGAGGCCACACTTTATAAGAATTTTTTCCATTTTTCATTTTAAAAATATAATTATATAATCCTTACCCCTCCTTAGTCTCAAACTCTTGATCTCTTTTTCAGTTACAAGGAATTTTAATCACAACACTTTCATTTGTTCTGCTATGTCCACTCTTTAAGTTCCCAGAGGATAAACAAGTAACATATCAGAGGCTTCAGTCCCAACTCTGCATAGAGCTTTCTCAGAGTCTAAGATTTAATAATAGTAAACATCTTATAATTCATCTTCTAGCCCTGGGATTAGAGCTGCTTCCAAATCTGTATTATGGATGATTCTGTTCTCTACTTCTCAAGAGCTCTTTAACCAATTCCTCTCTAAGTTCTCTGTTGACATAATACCTACTATGGTCAGTTTTCTTGACTGACACAGAAAGCAAGTGGCTCTTCTCCAGTACCACTCTACATGACCTGAATTTCCTAGATTGGTATATGTGACCATGTTAACATCCTTTCTTATACAACCAACCTCATTCTGTGACAGAAGTTTATGTAAATTTTGTAAGCCATATCCCATTATTTCTTCTGCACTATTTAAAATTTACTTGATTTCAATTTCCTTCCTTTCCCAGGCTGGTTTTTATTCTTCTATACTGAACAGTCCCACCAAACTTTTGCAGTCAGAAGTCCGTCAAAAAACTTAACTGACTTAAACATGGGTTTTAAAATGGTTTAACTGTATGTGCTAAGCTCATCCACAAAGATC